AAGGGGTGGGGTGCACGTATTAACAAACAGTCCACCGGAGGTCAATCGCCGAATAAGACTCGCACATTAATTGTCTGGAACTCAAAACAATACTGTTTGGCCTACAGTCTCTCTGTAGAGATCTAGTCTACACGCACATTAAAATAATGACTGTAAATACCACTGCCCTTGCAAATATTACCACATGGGTGGCTGCAACTCTCAACATGGCGATAAAATTGCCAGGGAAATAAGGGTGTGGTGCAGAATCAGCGACATTTGGCTAACTGTAAGCTATATCCCTGGGAAACTTAATGTGGTGGCTGACAAAGCTTCCAAAACATTTGATGATTACAAAGAATGGAAGCTTGATGTTGAAGTATTTCATGAAATAACAGAATATTTTGGGACCCTAGAAGTTGATATGTTTGCTTCAAGACTAAACTATCAATTTAAACCCTATGTCTCGTGGCACCCAGATCCACAGGCGTGGGCTATTGACGCTTTTTGTATTGATTGGAGTAAATTGTTTCTTTATGCTTTTCCATCTTTTAGTGTTATATCACAAGTTTTACAAAAAATAGAAATGGCCCAGGCAAGGACAATTCTCATCGCGCCGAATTGGCCAACTCAATCCTGGTATCTGATGCTGGCAAGATTAATGATTCACCGACCCATTCTCCTACCCAAAAACAAAAGCAATATGAGCTTACCATCTCATCAAAAAAAAGAACATCCACTCAAAGGGAGTCTGATACTGATAGCTTGTCTCTTATCCGGAGATCACTCTCAAGTAAGAGCAATTCACCACAAGCTCAAGCAACAATACTTAGTTCCTGGCGACCAAGAACACAAAAACTATATAAAGTTACCTTAACAAATGGCAACTCTATGTTAATAAACGGAATGCAAATCCTCTTCATCCAACTTTACAGGTAGTCTTAGACTTTCTACAGCACCTATTTAATCAAGGTATGAGTTACAGTTGAATAAACACTGTAAGAACTGTTTGAAGTATGTTATCTTCATTCGTTGTTCTTGTAGGGGATTTTACGATTGGTACACATAATATGGTTTAGAGATTTATGAAGGGAGTGTTCCAATATAGTCCAGCACTACCAAGATCTCAAGTGACATGGGACACCTCCATTGTTTTAGAGTATTTAAAGACATATCCCGCAGTAGAAGACTTAACCCTACAACAGCTAAATCATAAGTTGGTAATGCTCTGTGCATTAGTCACAGGGCAGCGTCCCCAATTATTCCAACTCATGAACCTCTTAACTGTAAAGAAAGAAGGGGACTCATACACCTTCTATATCGACCAACTTGCCAAACAGTCTGGACCAACACGCATTGAACCTAATTTAGTTATACTAAAGTTCCCTGGAGATCACGGACTATGTGTTGCCTCAGTCATGAAAGAATATTTTAAATGCACTGCTCCCATTTGGGTTCAGGAAATTTACTATTTCTTAGCACAATTCCACCCTTTCATAAAGTGTCAAAGTCATCTATATCTCGTTGGATAAAGGTTGTGATGTAAGCTGCAGGCATCGATATAGAAACGTGCAAAACACATAGTACACGAGCCGCAGCCACCAGTAAATCAAAGCAATGTAATGTTTCGATAAACTCTATACTGAAATCTGCAAGTTGGAAGAGTGATTGCCTTTTTCATTGGCTTTACAATAAGAACGTTGTGTCTCAATGTGACAATGCGGAGTTTGGGAATGCCATTCTTTCAGCGTTCCAATAAGACAGATATTGGATGAGAATTCTCTTTAGTTCAACTTGGCAGGGACTTCAGAAGAAATATACTTGCATGTGTAGTGCAAGAGAAGGAAATATTTAAATTCATATTTGTTACTATTTCTGGGTATGTTTGATACATCTCCAATTAAAATATGTTTATAACTTAATGTCGTATTTGCGTGTAGGCCTGAATTGTGTCCACATGACTTTCAAATCTTGTGGGATCTCTGCGGTAGATGCTAATAGAATTAGGAAATTGAACGAGACTTACCTGAATTTGAAGTTCGATTGGGATTCTATTAGCATCTACAAAGCAAAGATTACACGCACCCCCATCTTGCTACTGCCTCCCTTCATATCGTTCATATGCACGTTAAAGCGGTTCATGTGCCACTATCTTTGAATAAAGACCAATGTGCGCATGCGTAGTATCTCGTGTAATCTCTGCTCTGTAGATGTTAATAGAATCCACACCGAACTTCTTTGACATGTCATAATCTTGACTCAACACGTTAATTTTGTAACTTTGCTGTATTAATATAATTTGAAATAAACGATTGGAGTAAATTGGTATTGATGTGAGGAAAGTCGTATTTTCCATGTGTAATGTATCCAAAATTTATCTGTGTTTGACAATCCCACCAAAATGAAGAAAATTTTTCCATATAAAACATACGTGGCACTAATACATAAGTTATATGTAACTATAATATTCGTGACATCAAAACAAAACAATTGATACATGGACACAAAACATTAAATCAGAAGGTTAAAATACACTGTTACACAAGGCGAGTAAACTTTAAAATCAACATACCTTCACAAAGTCAGAAAGATTAAAAACGACGCACCCAACTACATGATGTGTTTACTTTTTCCTGATAATAAAGAAATCGGAATGTTCAATAAATGCTTGATTTTAATCACCTGCTGTTTTAGTTGTAAAATATTGAATTCTGGTCATACCCAATAGAATATGAAATGCAAATTTTTATTTTAGCTATGACTGAAGTAAACACAAAGAAGCTTAGACTTGGAAGCTTTATGACAATAAACCTTTCACAGTTTACTATTATTTATTTCAATTATTGAACATCCTGACTTACATGCAAACTAACTGAAATAATCATAAAGAAAGACGGGGCAGCCAGCCCTTTACAAATATGATAGCTCAAAAATTAAAGATTTATATTTTAGGAAGTTAAGAAAATCGATAAACAGAGCTTCTCTAAAATTCTCAGCGTTCCAACTTTGAAACGTTATCAAAGCAGTTTTGTCATTTTATAAACTTTCGATCCGGATAAACAAATAATTTGATCCCGAGCATGAGAAGCAAGTAAAAGTTGGGGGGCTCAAGATTTTAGGGGCAATCTTTATTTAAGAAGGGAATATCAGAGTAATTAATCTCGATGTCTCTAATTTTGAATAATTTTGTCACATCTCAGTAATCATAGACACTACAAAACTGATAGCGTTTGGATTTGGCACTTCATCATGCAAAGTTTTGTCATTTTGTGAACTTTTGATGCAAACAAATGTATTAAATAATCTATCTTACAACAACTTGAACAAATATGGACCAGAGAAAAATCACGTGTACTATCACGTGAAGAAGTGATCTTTTCACTCCAATTAGGCGCAAATTCTAAGGACATACCTAGCAAAATGTTTTTGTGTCATCATCTGTAATAAGAAAAAGATAAAGACATAAATGACTGTATAAAAGACAAAAAAATTCTTCTTGATAAAAGCCATGTTAGATAAAAATAAACTCATTCCGCACTTATGATATGCATAACTGAAATTCTGTGACGTGTCATGATTTGGATTCATTTTGTTGATTTAATAGCTCTGCCGTATTACCAATATTTTAAAAGACAAGCGAAATTAATTGTTTGTGACAATGCAAGAAAGGTTAGTATTTTGAAATGACAAACTCTTATAATGTGTTATTAAGAAATTCCCACCAAAATCAACAGACGTATCAACATAAAACATTTGAAGCGCGAATTACACCGCGAAAATGACATTCATGTTTATTATGACAAATATAACAAAATTCTAGACACAAAAATAAACAACTACAATCTGATAGGTAAATTTTATAATCAACATACCTTAACAAATTTAGAAAGATTAAAGAAGACGCAACAAGCTACGTGATGACCTTGCTTCTGTTTGGTAATAAAGAAATTGGAATGTTCAATAAATGTTCAACTTTAATCACCTGCTGTTTTTATTGTAAAATTTTGAATTCTGTTCATACCCAATAAAATATGAAATGCAAATTTTTTATTTTAGCTATGACTGAAGGGAACAGAAATAAGTTTTGACTTAAAAGCTTTATGCCAATAAATCTTTCACAGTTAACTATTATTTATTTCAATTATTGAACATCCGGACTTACAAGCAAACTAACTGAAATAATCATAAAGGAAGACGGGCAGCCGGCCTTTAAAAAGTAAAATAGCTCAAAAATTAAAGACTTATATCTTAGGAAGTTAAGAAAATCGATAAACAGAGCTTATCTAAAATTTTCAGCGTTCCAACTTTGAAACTTTGTCAATGAAATTTTATCGATTTGTAAAATTTTGATAAGGATAAACAAATATTTTGATCCGGGCATGACAAGCAAGTAAAAGTTGGAGGGCTCAAGATTTTAAGGGCAATCTTTATTTAAGAAGGGAATATCAGAGTAATTAATCTCGAAGTCTCTAATTTTGAATAATTTTGTCACATCTCAGTAATCATAGACACTACAAAACTGATAGCGTTTGGACTTGACACTTCATCATGCAAAGTTTTGTCATTTTTGTTAACTTTTGATGCAAACAAATATATTAAATAATCTATCTTACAACAACTTGAGCAAATATGGACCAGAGAAAAATCACGTGTACTATCACGTGAAGAAGTGATCTTTTCACTCCAATTAGGCACAAATTCTAAGGACATACCTAGCAAAATGTTTTTGTGTCATCATCTGTAGCACTGGAGTGAAGACACTATTCCTAGGTTTGTCTGATTCATATATTTTACATTTGAAGATTAATTGAAACCAAAAAGATTTGTGTAAGTCCTTAATCCTAAATTTGACAAATGTGCATATCTTTTATCCCAAGATTTAGAGTCAACGCTCAATCGAGATTACAAAATTTACATTTAAAAAATTACTTTAACTTTTAAATGATTCTTTGTGATAACTATCTTTACAATGAACTTTCAACAATTTAACGTTTGTTATTTGTCATTATTCAGAAATTTATGCATGGATCCTACTGTAAAAAAAGTCAGTCATTGTGAACTTGAAGTTGATGTAATTGCTGAAGACATCTTGAATCAAATAAATGTTGAAAGTAAAATTTACTTATCTTTATGTCTTCATTTTACTGTTTATACATCTTTAATGAATTTATTATGTTTATGAAGGTTGTATTGGTCATAATCCTGGTATAACTGCTATGTGGGAAGATGAAAGACAACGAAGACGAGATATTGGACTATCTTCACAAGTTGCTCTTCTTGTTTCACAAGGTAAGGTACAAAAAATACATGTCACATCATTATATAGCTTACAATACATTTCATGTATTTTATTTTGTTATGGTATTTATGATTTATACGACTCTGACTTATATATCCCACAATGAGCTGTTTCTAGTGCATAAAATTTCATGTTTTCTTAAGTTTAAACATCGTCATCGTAGGTAAAAATTGAACATTTTTGTCATTAGATCGTATTCAGTGCGTGAATTAGTTGAGAAAAAACGATGTGCAATTTTTTTGACAAAAGTGTTTCTTTAGTTGGCATAATCAAATCGATATTACGTTAATTATTACATAGCGCTTATTGCTAAATTAAAATTTTTAAACCTGCACAAATTCATTTGATTTACGACAGTGTTTTTCGTTATAACCGCTGATCCAGTTACAAACGTATGAGAGAAATGTTATTCTCTCCTCTTTTTTGAGCAAAAGTGAAAAGAGAATAACCGAATATACTTTTGCTTTCTAATTATTAACAGTAACATCCTTGATGTTTACTTACGATAAAAACATCATATTTGTTCAAGGTTGCCAGTTTCGCTTAATAATTTGAGCCAAATTTCGTTTCTTTTTCTCACGTTAGGCTTATTTAAAATCAAAATTCCCTTTGGTTTGTTTTTTAAATTTGGCTTATTTAAGTTTTTTTGTCTTCTTTTAAGAATCAAAATCAAAATGTTTCCTGATTTTACCGAAAATGCTCAAAATAGCTATGATGTCAAAAACAGTATGTAACGGTTTACAAAAAATGCAAATGCAGAAATTGACATTAATAATGTATTACTCCCTATTATCATAAGCATATAAGCACCATGTATGTTGACTGTTGACAGACTTCCCAGTCTCAGCGACAACGTCTTTGAATTTTATGACATTGTGTCAACATGTATTTTAATGTTGTGCAGCGCACTCGTTTATAAAGTACAGATCTGTAAAGATTAAGCTTGAAAACTTTTTTCAATTTATGTGGTACTAATCAATAATGAATTTTTTTTGCATATCGTTTGAAAAAGTGATGTGCAATTATTTTCATTTTAGCTAAAACGATGTGTAAATTGCATATGGCACACCGTTAATTTGCACACTGGTATTAAAACACCTGTATTGAATCTTGAAAAAATTCAAAGAAAAAACCATAGAAATTATTGATGGAAGAAATAAAGTGATGTAATATTTGATCTTGTGATGTTTAATAATTTATTTTTATATTTTTATAAATTTCAAATAAACTTGCAGTCAAAGTGAGTGGGAGACAATGGAAAAATATCTTTCCCCCGAAGACTTTAAAGAATTTTCTCAAACTATTCTTTGACAAGGCAAGCAACCGCAGTGTGAAGCAACAATAAACCAAGGTTCTGATGAGTTTTGTTAACTTATTTCAAGTTACAATCATACAATAAAATATTTACTTGGCATAAGCGAACCTATCTGAGCTCAATCAATTAAAATCAATAAAAGAGAATTTCCAAATCAATCATGAATACATGTTACAGAAAAAATTAAAACATTTGTTTTTAATTTGTCTGTTTTGTATTATCGTTATTTTACAAAGAAGTAAAAGATGTTTTTTGTGTTTACACAGGTTTATGCAAACCTCGGTGACGTTTGTGAGAACTTTGGAGCAGGTGCAAGCCTTTGACTTTGGTCATCACTGATCGAGTTCTCTCAAAGGTCTCCATGCTTTTCATAATACTGGGCAAACACAGTAAACATCTTAAATGAAAAACAATCAATCTTCTCTGAAGTTTTGAGTAGCTGTCTTCCTCACTTGCAGTTCATGGGATGAAGAGGAAATGGACTGGAAACCACCTTTACGTATGCCTCAAGTGGATGGTCGTGGTGATGACGAGGACTCCAGGGGACATATGTAGTCAATCAATTTTCACTCCGCGAGAAAATCTCGAAACACTTAACACGCGTGTCTGCGTGTAATCTCGCGTGTCTGGATGTAAGATTTGGCTTTAATTATTTGCTTCAGATAGCGTTCCATGTTCAATGGTAACAACATACATCATCTTAATGCAATTTTATTTGTTTAATATCACGTAGGCAGAAAGTTCTCTCTCACCCTAAATGTACAGCAGCCGTTCGACAAACATCATTTAGTAAAGATGGAAGGTAAATTTTACATGTTACGTTTCATCTCACGGGAACAATTTCTTTGTTTACCCATGTAAAATTATTGTTTTTTGAACATTTTTCAAAGTCAAGGAAAGCATGTGAAAAGAACATAGATATCATTTTCATAATGATAAAATAACATGTTTTTCTCATTGAAACTTTCATTTTACGAAGATATTTTACTATTTGTTTGCCTGTGGCACATTTTTCATTTATCTACCAAGAGCCCATTTCCAACGCGAAATTGAAAGTAACCTTTTTCATTCTTTGGTCATTAAGAAAAAGTTTTTTGCTAGATTTTTGAGTTGATTTCACAGTATTTACACCTTGTAAATTGTCAAGTTTCTTAAAGCAAAGTCCACTATGACTGAATGGTAAATAATTTGCAGAGCGAATATTTAACTTTCAAGAACCTTAGCGGTCGTCATTTGAATTTTCTGTTGAAGTAAAACATACGAATTTAAACATGTTAACGTTTTTTTAATTGACGTCATAACTAAAAGTATTATTGTGATTGCTCCTTCGGAGCATGTCACCTTTCACAAAGACAACATGTAATCCTTCAATGCGTTTTTAAGGCCTGATTCAAACATTGCATTTTACATGCGCCCAATGCATTTAAAACAAAAGATAATGACATAAAAGACCTTATTATCTTTTGTCTTAAATACATTCGGCACATGTAAAATGCGATGTTTGAAATAGGTCTTAAAACGCATGAAGTTACATATCTTTAATGTGACATGCTCGAAGAAATACAATTAATTATACGTCAATTAAAGAAACGTTACATGTTTAAATTCATGTTTTTCAACAGAAAATTACTCACTTAACGTTGTAGGAAGAAAGGCAAATTCTGTCTTTTTACTGACGAATACTGAAGTATGAGTTACATGGAATAATGAACTGGTCTTAGTGTAGGCCTCGTAATTTGAAAGCTTTCACTGTAAAATGCTTTCATCACGATTATAAGTCTTTGATCGTGTGAAATTAGTTACATCGTTAAACTCAACTCACTAAAGCTATTCGTGCAATGAAGGTGAATGTTCTACCGTTTAAATAGTCAAACAGAAAACATATAACAATTTGTTCTTTCTCAATCTATTTGAGTAAGAATGTAAACCGCAAACTAACGTTATATGCAGAGTTATTCATCATGAATCTCATACATGTGTTTCATATTTTCTTATATTGTAGATCCCACAAGAATGGAGTTGTGAAAGTCCCTTTGCCACCTGTGTCATTCACTTCAATTACTCTTACTAGTATGTCATTACTCATGTGTCATGGTGATTCATGGCAAAGAATGTTTATTTGTAGTTTGGATTCTTTGTTGATGTCAGTTGTTTGTTCATATAATGATGATGGGCTCCATTGTTATATGAACCCACATAAGGGTGGTGAACTGATACTCACAGAAGATCAACTCTGCAATAAGCATTCTTTGAGTAATGATAAAACTGGGGTATTGAAGTGCGGTCCCTTTTCCTTCGCTTGAAGTTACCATAACATTGCATTGTGAATTGTAGTATATCGAAATGGCGATTCATCATATCAGTAGCTACTTTATTGGTTGATGATGCTCCTTACTTTGTGTATGGAATGGTATCGACATGTTGAATAAACATCGCATAACGTCATATGTACGTATGAACATTTACTTTGAAGTGATTTCTCTATAAAAATGGACTACATTCTACGAAGATGGAAAACAAGCGAATGAAAAAACACGATCTATATCTTGTGGTTTGTAAGTTGAGTAGATAAAATTGTTAAAATTAACTTGTATCAGTAACTGCATGAGATAGTTATAAAGGATCCTGATGGTCTATCTTTATAATTTGAAACTTAATCATAAAAAACACCCAACTTAAAAAAAGTGTCAATAAAAGATGTCACTTGCTGTGAGAAAATAGCTGGCTTTCACTCGCTACTTTTTAGTAATTTAATTTAACGTTTATTAAGAAAGTTGCAATGATGCAAGTATGGTTCATTGAATTACTAAGATAAAAATTTTACAATTAATTTCAACGATACAACGTAAAAACTAAGCGGTGAAAAAAAGGAAGAGACCGACCAAGTCGCCTGGATCAAACTGACCAGGACAACCCTTGGAAATCAGGTATTAAAGCTTTGTTCATTTTAATATAGTTAATTTCTGTTTTTGTTCCTTCGTTATGCTGACATTTATAACGTGTTTTTTATAGAGTAGCTATGTCTGTAGGCCTTCTAACTGGACAATGAATGAACGACGAAGTCGAGCAGAAACAGCAAGGAACAAGCGTCGTTATTATAAAATGAACACTTCCTAATTTATTTATCCATAATGTCCATCAGTACAACGCATTTTCAAATTCGACCGTTAAAAATTTCCGTATAACTAAATGTTCACAATTGTTAAATTTTCTGACAAAACACACGAGTGAAAGCCAGCTATTAATTAATGAGGCGTCATAGAAAATTTCAATGGAATATAGTCTAGCAGACATCAAAAATTAATTTTATATCAGTCACAACGACTCAATAGTCATTTCATTTTTAATTGTTATGGGCAGGTGACTGGTCAGGTTCCTACGTACTGAATAATTTTTATATATGATTTATATATGGCTGCTATTAGTTTTCGTTTTTCGTCTATTGATTACAATTTTTGTTAACAGTCTGCACTATTTCATTTTTTGTGCTCTACAAAAGTTTGCGTTTCTTATGTACGAACAAAAAATATTTGCTTTGTCAATAGGGTAGTCAGCCCACATTTTTATTGCTCCGTAAATTTAAATTTTTTATACGACTGTATAAGACGCACGATCTGACTACGCTGCATGTTAAAGTAGATCATCGGGATCATCGAAAACAACAAAAACATAAAACATCATAAAACACTACAAAAATTTGAAGCAATTCTTCTAAATTTTCTATTTTTTCTTTTATTGGAGGGTTTTTTTACCGGATCCGCCGGTTTTCCCTCCCATTTTGTTTTGGTTTGGAAAAAAACAGTGTCCACATTTGGGGCCAAGTGAAGGCATTTGTTATAACATTATTTATCGTAGTTATCATGAATATTCACGTTTCTTTTCATTTCTTGGCTTTTGGGTACATCTCCCAAAACACTGCGTTTATTAAATACAATGGCATACATTTCAAAAAATTCGCACGCAATTCGCAGTCTCGATAATTTCGCTCAACGTATCCAAGGACACTCGCTGCAGAGTTGTAGACGGCTTCTTTGAAAGTGCTCCAATCTTCCTTTATATCCTCGCCCGTGATGTTAATGTAGCTACCTCTAGCTTCTCTTACAGCTCTTCTTTGTTGGGTGGAATGCGAGCTACATTCAACTACCTTAGTGGCTTCTCTCTTGCTGATTTGTTCTTTCTGGTGAGCTGGATGTTGATCTTGCTCCGTAGCAGGCGGTGATAAGACCAACAGTCGGCACCACGCATGCAGCGTGTGATGTGCACGTCTCTGCGGTCCCTCTGGCGGACGATTACGTAGTCCAGCATGTGCCACTGTTTGTAGCGAGGGTACATCCATGTGTTCTTCAGCTTGTCAGCTTGTTGAAAGAGAGTGTTAGTGATGGTTAGCTCGTGCTGTGCGCACAGAGACAGTAGCATCAGGCCATTGGAGTTGCACTTGCCAGTTCCATGGTGACCCAGGATGTTTGGCCAGATGGTGTAGTCTACTCCAACTCGTGCGTTTAAGTCTCCAAGGATGATGAGTTTGTCTCTGCGGTCAACACTGGAGAGGAGCTGGTTGAGCTCTTCGTAGAAGGCTTCCTTCACTTCATCTGGGTTTGTCATAGAAGGGGCGTAGGCGCTGACAATTGTTGCGTTGCAGTCTTTCTAGAGTTTCAGCCGAAGGGTCATGAGGCGATCGCTGATGCCCTGTGGCAAGCTGACTAGTCGCCTTGCGAGCTGAGTACGTATGGCAAATCCCACGGCTGAGTGTCTTTGGGCGTTTTCCGGTTTCCCAATGCAGTTAAGTTTCATATGCAAGTCTGCTCTCACTCAATGCGGCTATGTCCACCTGGTATTGTCCAAGCGTCCTTGCTATTAGAGCAGTGCATCGCTCTGGTCTGTGTCCTCTGTCCAACAGCGTTCTCACGTTCCATGCCCCAATGGTTAGAGGCTTTCTTGCTTTGTTATCCTTAGTTGTACGACCGTTTAGTTGGATGCCCAGGCAGGTGCGGTTCCTGCCAGGTGCAAGTAAGGCAGGCTTTGTTTAGGGATCCTTTTATCTCCCCTTCCCCATGTGGGGAGAGCAGTGCTAACTCTAAAGAGGGCTGCTCTGTCACTGCAAGAGGATACGGGCGCCGAATCTGCCCTAGGTTTACGGCGGACGACCATCACCTGGCAGCCGCCTGCGTGCAGAGTCAAGGCTAAGAACTTCCAGCAGCATCCTCTGCCTGTTCCCGTCACCATTTCTCCATCACCACAGGACTTGAAATAGCTGGCGTAAAAAGGGGATGGTTGCATCACTTGATTACGGCAAACCTGCTCGCCTGACTAGCACAGGTGAATGTTTTAGGTGAAGAGGGGATGTGCATGCCCGTCTCCCCCCTCTCGCGTACTGACGCTCAATGCTCCACAGGTGCAGAAGCTGCCACGTGTAGAGCGACCCCAGCAGGAGCAGCTTTCTTCTTCGGAGTATCCGTATCCTAGCCTTTCCCGTGACCGGGTACGCCGCAAGGCAGCGGAGGTTTGGAGTCAGGGTTTTCCTTCCCCTAGGTGGGCTACCTTCATGGGTTAACAAG